CAATCGATGTGATGTTTTAGTCTAATTATTACTTCTTCAAAAAAATTATACATGGTTTCATGATCTATCATGAAAGGGAATGTCAGGGTCCCTCCAGGATCCCCAAACCATAACATGGGAGAATCCCTAGTCCAGGAGGAAAGGCCCCTGTGCTGTGCTTCCTAACCAGGATTTGGGCTGCACTGTAGATGCCATCTCCAGGCTCTCAGACATGCATGCCCCCATACTCAGAACATTTTGTGTCTTTATGTTGGTTTTTGTCTTGCCTTGTTTTTATGGGAAACAATACACTTCAAGAACAAGGCACACTCCCAAGTGTGGCTGCAATAGGATAATGCTGCCCATTTGGGCTGCTGCTAAGAGGACACCTCACTGGATAATAAAGAAGAGATATTTATTTCCTCACAGTTCTGAAAGTCCGAGATTGTGGTACCTCCATCTGGTGAAGGCACACGGTGGGAGGTAAAGGAGACAGGCTCACCCTACAATCCCTTTTTATAATGGCACTATTGGTTCAGGAGGGTTAAGTCCCATGGCCTAAATAACTCCATCAGGCCCAGCCTTCAATCCATTGCACTGAGGCTTAAGTTCCCAACGAATGAATTTAATGGGCATATTCAGACCATAGTGACAACACACTCTGGAGACAAAGCCAGAATTGATACCACCTTGACTTCCAGGGACCTTTCATCTCCCTCAGTTATTTCACACTTCTCCTGGCAGGCGGGGTCCTGATTTGCAACAGAAAAGTTGTTTTCCTGTTGTGTTAGTCAGCTTTCCATACCTGTGACAAAATGCCTGAGATGAACAATGAATAAGGAAGACCTTTCCTTTTGCTACACAGGGTCAGAAGTTTCAGCCCATGGCCATGTCACATTGTCTGAGGCAGCTCAGTGTATCACAGCAGAACACAAGGAGAAGCCTAGGAAAGTAGAGACTATTAGTAGTAGCCCCGTCTCTCTCCTCTCTGCTTTGTCATCTGCTGCCTGCCATGATATACCCAACACAACGTGCCAGATTAAGATTACATCACTGGGGATTCTGTCCACTGTGTACATTCCATTTCTAAAGTTTCTGGCCATTCCCCCCGCACCCCAAATCCTTGCTCAGTTTTTCATTCATGCTTTCTCTTTCATTTTGCTTATTTTTTTTCTCCTTACTTCATTGATCTACTTTCTATTTATTTCTTCTTTGAAGTCACTGTTTTTACAAGTAGACTTGTTTAACAAGTCAACTATTTCAGTATTTTTGGATTTGGCAATTGAGTTAGTGTCTTTTGGAGGTATCATCTTGCCTTGCTTTTTTGTTTCTTGTATTGTGTGATCTCATCCAGTTTTATTTTGTTCTTAGTGAGCAGCCTATTCCTTTAGGACTCAGTCACCATTACACCTCAGAGAATTCAAACCACTAGAATTATAATGCTGAACTGAATAAATGCACTTAAAATACACAAAAGCCCACTAAGATGCTACCAATAGCCAAAGAACAGAAAATGGTAGAGATGATGGAGACTCTGCTATTTTATTACTTTATGTGTATAGGTGTTTTGCCTACATGTGTGCTTGTACACTATGTGCATGCCTGGAACCCAGGGAGACTAGAAGAGGGTCTTGGATCCTCTGAAACTGGACCTGTAAACTGTTGTAAATTCGCATGTGGGTGCTGGGAATTGAACCCAGGTCCTCTGGAAGAACAAGTGCTCTTAACTGCTGAGCTGCTAGAAAAAAAAATCTATAAACTCGAGTCTAGAAACCTTCTCTAACTTCTGTGCTTTGGTTCATACTTAGGAAGGCCTTTCCACTCCCGAGTTCTAGAATTTTACCTAAGTTAACAAAGTGCTTACTGCACAAGCACAAGGATCTCAGGTCAATCCTCAGCACCCATGTAAAATACCTAGCACTCTCCAGGCCAATGGGAAGCTGCCCCAGGAAATAATGTGGATGGCCACAGAGGAATGGCACCCGAAGTTACCTCTGGCCTCCACATACAAATATACCAATAAAACTACTCTTATTTCACACTGGACTGCATGCAGACTGTCCTGGGGTGAGAAGTGAAGAATGGCTCTGCTCATTTTCCCAGAACACCATGGAAAGGTCCCAAGCCCAATGACTCTAAAGCCACCTTTATCATAGCTTCAGCTCCCATGTGGCCTATCTCTGAACCATTCTATTCTCCATTTATAAATTACTGAATACTATAACTGTTGTACATATGTTAATGTGTAGTCTGTCTTATCATCTTTATTTATTTGTTTTTTTGAGACAGGATTTTTCTGCATAGCCCTGGCTGTCCTGAAACTCACTTTATAGATCAGGCTGGCCTTGAACTCAGAAATCCACCTGCCTTTGCCTCCTGAACTCTGAAATTAGAGGTGTGCACCACCACACCCTGGTTCCATGTGAATTTTAAAATTAGCTTATATAAATCTTTTTATTTTAAAAAAGCCTACTAGTGTGCTTCTTAGATATATAAGTAAGATTTATTCTAATTTTGTGTTTATGTATATAGGCGCATATGCATGTGAATGCCTACAGAGGCCAGAAGCAGACCCTGGGTCCCTGTAAGTTGAGCTTACAGGTGGTTATGAGCTGCATGATGCAGGTGCTGGGAACCCAACCTGGATCCTCTGGAAGAACAGGAAGTGCTCTGAAGTGCTGGGCCATCTCTCCAACCCTGAGTATCACACTGAGTTGACACATTAAACATGGGGAAGTGATGGCTTCATGATGCTGAACATTCCTGTGAAAGAACATGGACATGGTAGTCTTTTCATTTGGTCTTAGTTTCATTGAATCTTGTTTGGTCCCTCACTGTTACTTAAATTTTTCCTGCAAATAAATTTATTCCTACCCTTTTTTTTTGTTTTCTGCTATTATAAAAATTATTTTCTCTTAGGCCATGAAATTGGGTACCTTGTATATAAAGATGATCATTTTCTGAAAATTAATTTTGTAAATTATTTTGTTTGTCTTTGGTTAGTCCTCTTTTGCCTCTAGGTAAACAATCTAATCATTTCATCCAGGACTTAGAACTTTATCTTCTCTTCCCTTCTAATTTCTGTCTTTAATTTCCTTCTCATGTCTAATTGTTTTGTCTACGTCCTGTGGAACAATTTTAAATAATAGTGACGATTAGTAGACATCTTTGTCTTGTTCCTGGCTTTAATGAAATTGCTTCTGGTATTCTCAATTAAGCACGACGCTGGCTTCAGATTGAGATAAATATATTTTATCATATGAAGGAGACACCCAGCTATTCCTAGTATTAAATGATCCTTGTATCCCTGAAATAAGCTTCACTTAGTCATGGTGAATTACTCTTATCTACAGCCATCTGGCTGGACTCAGTCCTAGATCCCCTGCTCACTGCTGGTGTTCAGCAGGCTACTTTACCTCCTTAGGACTCAGTTCCCATGCCCTTTAAAAGAAGGATGGGGGGGGTTACTTGCTCATTAAGTGGCTGTGCATATCAACTGGCTCTAGGAAATCTGAGCATCTCTTCAAATGTTTAAAAGCTATTTTCACACACACACACAAAAAACAAAAAACAACAAAAAAAACAAAACAAAACAACAACAAAAACCTGAGCAGGTTATTCCCCATTTTTTTCTGTGAAGTATCTTCTGTTTTTAAAAGTTCCTCATACATTGAGTTTAGCCATAATCATTGATGTAAATTACAAACATGCATCCCAGTTATTGCATTTTTTTGTTTGCTTTTGGTATAAGTGCAGACAGGCAAAAGCTTTAGTTGTTTTCTTTAGGAGGCAAAGGTTTCCAGTTGCACCTGGATTTCAAGAGGCAGGGAGGAGGATTCATGTCTCCAATTCTTCACTCCCCTGGCATCCCCACCCTTCGCCATATGAACTTACAATCCTCTCCAACCAAGGTGGTTTGTTTTCCTGCTGGTCCAAGGTGAGGAACAAAGAGCAGGCTGACCTAGCTGACCACCCCATCATAACCCTGCCGCTGACCAACACCCCCGGGTTACTGACAGGGCCAATTTCCTTATGAAAAGGCTTATTAGAATTTTAGGACTTGCAACCACAGAAACTATTTCTGAATTATTTATCTGCCCCACTGCTTATTCATGTGATCTACAACACTGTTTGGAGTTAGACATCATGTTAATACAGAATAGGACAGAGTCTCTCTTCCAAGTCATTTTTCATTTTTCTCAGGCTGGTTGTCTTCCTTTGATCTTCCAAGTCAATCTTACCATGAACATATCTAGTTCCAAGCAAAGAACTGACAGCATGGGGGTGGGGGGGACCACAGATCTTTCTACAAAGAAGACAATCCCAGATCTGCAGAATTTTGGTAAATTATTTCGGGAGGTTTTCAATTTTACTAGTTAAGGATGTTCATGGCATTGCCTTATCAACCTTCCTATCATGGCTCCATCTGTCACTTCCTACTTTGGTTTATGGCTTTAACTTGGGAGCTCAGTCTCACATCACCTTATCTGTAGAGTGCTTTAACACCTGGATGGAAGTTTACAAGTTTTGAGGTTGCTTCTGTTAATCATCTGGAATGAAGACAGATCCAGGTCCACTGAAAATTTTAGACCACAGAAACAGTACACATTGAACAGAAACCTATGCCAAGGACAACTTGTCAAACATTTTGAAGTGAAAAATGGCATTTCTTCCACTAGGGTCAAGATGGAGAAGGGCAAACTTGTCTGTATATAGTTCAGTGGTTTATCTAGTACTTACCCCACACTGGCAGACATCATGCTTGGAGGGAGCCGGCTTTGTGGAGATCTCAGCCGAGATCCCCTTCTATGAGCATTCCGTGCCCGACCTCAGGTACTCACCTCAGTCTTCATGCCAGAAGCTCATTGGGACTTGGTGAATACTTTTAGGATGAAAGATGGCATTGTCTCTCATTGGCCTTCCATGAAAGAAACCTCTGTCTGTCTGTCCGTCTGTCCCCCCACACACAATTTTAACCAGTGTAGACTCTTTGCTTTCTATTCAATCACCCGTACACTCAGGAAGGTTTTCTTTTTACTCCAGTGGATTAATGGTAAAATTAACTCCCACAAGTAGAACAAGTCAGTAGCAGAAAATAAAATTAGCATACAAAAATCAATACCTTTTATATATAGAATTCCTAGTTACAAGATACAATGGCAGAGAAAACATCTTCCTGGCAGCAGTGCTTTGATTGATTAGGTCACATAATCATTTACCACGTGTGTCCCTTCCTATAATCCATCTGGTTTTAATCATATGTAATCCCAATTATGCATAGGCATAAGACAGTAAATACAGGATGGGTTTGCCCTTAAGTTCTCTTGAAAACTGTTTTGCCTTTAATTAACAGAAAACCGTATTCTGCACATATGTGCCATGGCGTATCTGTATAGGACAGAGGACAGACACATTGCTAGGGCTGATTCTCTTTTACCATTTGAGTCCCAGGGACAGAACTCAAAGTCATCAGGCTTGGTGACAAAATGCCTTTTACCTGCTGAACCATATCTCTTTTAAAGTTCCTAGTTGATCCAAACGCCCCCAGGGTTAAAAACCCCCACTTCAATGAAAAACAGAATTCAAAGATAGAGGAGGGGGTGTACTTCCGTGGTCAGTAGGGATCCAGGGTTAAGAAAGTGTATTTTGTTTTTTTTTTTTTTGGGGGGGGGTTCTGAACATATTAAAATGCAAAAATGTCTATGACAAGAGGCTGTATATAGCTAGCCTGAACAATGCACAAATCATGAGGGCTAAGGGCAACAAACCTTGGCAAGACAGGTACTCTCAAGAGCAAGTGTGATTGGGAGGGAGGAAGACTCTCGGCTAAGTCGGGGTAGGAGGGTAAGACTAGTTGCTGAGAGGCTGAGGTTAATAGGGTTTGGAATGGCTGCTCTGCAAAAACTGCTAACAGAAGGGGCACTGGCAGAGATACTGGGCAGTAGGAACTGTTACCATGATTCTGGGGGGTGGTATCAGTTTGTAATTAAGTCTAAAAAAAAACTTTAGGAAGTGTTTCGAATTGTTAAAGACAAAATCTTGGTATGTAGCTCAGGTCAGCCTAGTATCCTCCTGTCTCTGCCTTGTGATTCTGGGATCACTGCTATGGAACACCATAACTTTTTTTTGGGTTTTTTTGTTTGTTTGTTTGTTTGTTTGAGATGGTTTTTCTGTGTAGCCCTGGCTCTCCTAAAACTCACAGGATATATTTTATATAACATTTTATACTGATAATTGTGAAAAGTGACTGTCATTCTTGTTATATTTGAACTATGTCAAGTCACTTTCATCCTCTACTCAGCCATGAGGACAGTTTTACCCTTTCCCAGGCATTTGGGAGGGAAAACCATGGGGAACAAAGCCATTTTTTAAGAGTTTATGCAAGAAATCATACACAAAATCTGTCTTTGCCAAGGAGACAGTCTCCTTTACTGGCAAGGCTTAAGTCTGTGCTGGGCTCCCCTGTAGGGTGTGTTAGGCTTGCTGGACCTCATCCTCAGGAACTGACCCATAGGTCAGCTGTTGCTAGTCTAAGAACTGCTCTGAGCAACCCCTTTCCCTTTGCCAGAGACTACTCCACACTGTGAGAATCTTCAGTATCTCCTCACTGCCAGTCTAAGGACCAGCCTAAGGCTCTGCTTAGAGCACCCCTTCCCTTCCCTCTGCCTAAGATACTCCCCTTTGTATCTTCAGCATCAGCCTCTTCCTCATACCATACTGGAAAACTGTCGTTCCAAAGCTGCCTATTTACCAAGAGGTCTCTCCACTTCCAGGAATATATTATTCTGCCCAAATTTGATCACTACCTTAAAAACCTTACAGTCCACACTCTTTAGTGTTATTGTTCCTTTTTTTCCCACACTGCTTTTTCCAGGCATGGGCCTTTCTATTTTTGAGATCATAACACAGGAGTGAACACCCTAGCCATTTGTGTTCAGTGCCTGTAGTAGAAATGACCAGTTTTGCTCCATGGCTTTGCTTCTCTTTCTGATGGGGTAGGGAAACATCCTTACTGTTGCTAGAAGCTGTTAACTCTCCTAACCACAGCAAGGGGAAATAGGACATAGTGATAAAAGCAAAACTAGCTTTAGCAAGGGGAGAGGCCAACAAGGGTGAAATGCTTCCACTTCCCCATTGTCTAAGCTATGCCCCTAACAAGACAACAGCCATGTCTGCTAGAGCCAGCCAGTCTGCTCTCAGTTCAAACAAAGTTCCTAAGACACTGAAACAGCTTCTGCTGTTGAGGTGTATCCAAGGCACTTTGCCCAGGAAGGGGAGAGATAAAAACACATTGCTCAGAACCACAGGCAAAATAGAGCAAAGACCTTAAATGAACCATGCATCCCATAACACTTTACCTAGAGCCGAAGAATCAACTGCACCAGACATGATCATGGTGGCCTGGGAGCTCTTCCTAGTACCTAACGTTCTCAGTGGCTTCTGTGTTAACTTAGGTTAACACAGAACTTCCTAGACCACGGAAGGAAATTGTAGATAGGTGGGCAGGTATGCACACATAAATAGATGATAGACTGATAAATGATAGATATGATAGAAGATACACAGATGATAGATCTAGATGGACGGATATGCTTAGTGTCTTCCGTCCCCAAATGCAAAGCTTAATCAACCTTTTTAGGACTGATAATTAAATTACTCACTATATACATTGAACTTTACTTAAAAAAAAATCTCATTCATAAGCACCACAGATTGAGATGCTTTATTTACTTTGGGTCATCTGCTGTGACAACTGCCTTGTTTAAGAGTCAACGTCATCTAAAATCTCTCATTGCAACTGATTTCTAAAGAATTTAGAAATTCTTTAGAAATTCTTCTTCTCATCAGTTCTGACCCAAGAGCTACTCCTTTAAATGCTGCACCTGAAACATAACCTCAAACTCCTCAGCAAAGTTAACAACCTGTGAATGGATGTCATGCAAGTAGGTAATGTGATTTTTGTTCATTACAGAAAAAAATACAACAGTGAAATTAAGAGAAACATCTGTAGTCCATAGAGATATTATCAGAACCTTGAAGTCAGAACTGTGGAACTTGGCTTCATTAACTCCTGGTATCCAATGCATGCGTGCAATCAATGGTCATCTTTAAGATCTGTCTGGTCATCTTCAACACTGACAACAAAACCTCATCTCTCCTTGAAAAGCAGATCTTAATTTATAACATTATCCACTGTGTCATAAAAAAATTTTAAATGTAAGGTTTAAAATACAGCTGATACTAAAGTTAGCCCCTGAAGCTGGTTGCCACAGAAATAGCAGAATAAGTGACTGCCCTAAGCATGCATTTATACCCTAAAATGAGCATAAATTTACAACCCTGTATTAGAAAGTATTTGTGCACTTAATACTGTATTTTCTCAGGTGAGTAACTTTATTCCCATTCATTATAAGAAGGTACTACAGTTTTGGGTGATCCCTGTCCAAAGTGTTCAGAAATGTGTAAAAATGGATGACCAAGAAAGATGATAAACATCCATGAAAAAGCTTCATACACATTGGTCTCAGATTGACTAGGGATACCAACGAGAAACAACAGATTATATAACCCATGGCAGAATAGCTTGAAAGTCTATAGTTTAGGCTGACTCATGTGCCTGAGTACATATGCAAGTCTGCCTTCACCTCTGAACATTGACATGGCTTCAGAGATATTTAAAGTGTAATAAATATGTATATATAAACTACTTGAAATCCCAGGTAGAAAGAGGACAACCTAGCAATATACCACAAAGGAGAGCTACAAGAATACCTTTGCACCTAACTGTGAGGTCTCTCAAGCCGTCATCAGGATCAGCGTCTTTATGAACCAGTTTGGAAACATTTTAAGTATCATCAGTCAGGCTCTCCCTTAACTCCACCCAGACTGTTATGTGTTCCATAGGTCACTGCAGGATCTAGGTGAGAATGCAAGACACAGCCTACTTCCATCACCGAGCCATTCAACAGTGCCACATTCCCTATTGTCTGTGGAGGCAGCTGTGACTCCCTACAGGACAGTTGGTCCTTATAAGAACCAGGGTGACTGGGGGACTGAGGGACTGGGGGGCTGGGGGCCTTGGTGTTGCCCTCCCATTACTTGGTCTCTATCTGTACCTCCCTCTACCACTCTCTCATGGTCAGCTCACACGTTCTCAGCCTTCCACAGAATCTACAAAACCCAGCTTCATGTTCCCCTTTCCAAACAGACTCACACTCTGCCCACCCCACATTAATCACACTGTGTGGGAGGGACAATTACACTTTGGGAAAAGGAGGCACTAGACTACTTGGCACCTGTCTAAGGGAGAGGTGTTCTGTCCCATTCGACCAGAGCAGTGAGCATTCTGCAAAGAGCTCCTGTGTATTTCAGAGTAAAAGCACTCGGTTGACACAAAGTAAGAGCACCCTGTCAAGCAGGCCTCTGAATGACAGGTGCTCTTGATAATACTTTTGGGAAATGTGGCTTTCCCCAGCAGCTCCAGGCAGTCACATATTCCTCACTTTGACAAAGTAGCATCCAGACTTCAGGCTCAACCGTATATACAACTCTACATGCAGCTGAGCAGTCATAAACACGCCACATAGAGGCATGTCAAAAAGACATTTTTCCTTCCCAAAGCATGGCCTCAAGCAGCCATTACTGTAACAGATAACAGAGCATGAGTTCCTGTTCATCACTGGCTACTGACCTATAAAACACTAACAGTGAAGTCCCATTCAGGATACAAGCCTTAGACCAGGATCAGAAATGCTAACCAAACATTATCCACTGACTATTTTGCTGTGCACTTAAACCACCACCCGCATTTGAGTGCACCAACCTACATGCTTAGACATGCCCTGTCAGCAGAACACAGACCATGAGGATAAGGTCAAGTACAATGCAGCTGCTAGTGATTCCCCCTCAGTCGAAGTGCAGGCCAACTGGAAGTCCCAACCCATCCTGCTGGTGTCTCTTCTGAGGCCCCAAACTGAGAACTTGTTTGGTGTATCTTACTGGCACTGAGTGAATAAAGGCTCAATGGCAAGCCGTACTGCATAGACACAATTCCACCCAGGAATGTGTTTGGAATTGGCTGTGAATTTGGGACTTCATCAGTGATATTAAAAGCTCTACACAGAAGGTACGCAAAAGCTGTTACTAGTTTTCCAGGAATAAAGACACAGCTGCCAAGGAGCAACAGCTCTAGGAAGGCAGCTGGAGGTAAACAGTGGGCTAACAACAAAGTAAGGAATACAGCAGAAGATGCCTCACCCCTTTAAAGAAAACTGCTGCCCTGATACTTGACAAAAAAAGATTCCCCAAATATCATTTGTTTTCCATAAGAAAGAGCTGCTGCTGATGTGAAGAGGAGGTGGTCCTGGTGGTACGAGGACCAGGAATGCCAATTAGGACACCAAGACTGTACAATGCAGTTCCAACACTCATCAGCTACTGGGCTCTAGCTGCATCCAGAGCTCTTTTCATGTGGCATTTTGAAAAACGTGGCAGGAGCGGAGGCAGTGGCTTTCTCTGCTGCAGCGGTCCTGTCCAACCACGTGGAGTGGGGAGGCTTCTGGGATGGGGTGGCTGGCTCCAGCACATCTGGGTGCACTGTGTTTCACAACAGAAGTAAAAAGGGGAGATGAGTTAGTGAAAGAAGTTAGGATAAGAGGCACTTAGAAATACTTTTTAATCTTTATATTTCATGCCCAATTCACCTAAGAGGCTTCATAAGGTTTACTATTTTTTTCATTAAAAAAGGTGAAATTTACAAACCATTTCTCCAGGAATAAATGCACTAGAACTAATAGATATAGGAAAAACTAAAACTTTACTCATTTGCTAGGCACTGTGTGACTAAATATTGAATACTTGGGATTCCCTTCCCCACCCTACCCCAGTGTGTGTGTGTGTGTGTGTGTGTGTGTGTGTTGTGTTCCTTTTTAAAAATAAGGTTTTAAAATGTAGCCCAAGGGGCTGGAGAGATGGCTCAGAGATTAAGAGCACCAACTGCTCTTCCAGAGGTTCTGAGTTCAATTCCCAGCAACCACATGGTGACTCACAACCATCCATAATAAGATCTGGTACCCTCTTCTAGTGTGCAGATATACATGGAAGCAGAATGTTGTATACATAATAAATAAATAAATAAAATCTTTCAAAAACAAACAAACAAAAAAAACGTAGCCCAAGATGGCTTCAAACTCATGGTCTTCTTGCCTTAGCCCCTGAGTGCTGGGATTATAGGTATGTGCCATTAAACCTGCATGATCATATTTCTTAATGACAACTCATCCCCATTTTATGGATCAGGAAACTAAACTTCAGAGATCAAAAGTAGCAATTCAAGCTCAAATACTGGGCTACACATGACGCTCAATATGGTGGTGTTATGAGTAAATACAATAAGGAAAACAGAAAATAAACAGCACCAAGCATGGTGTTTTAATGAAGCTTCTTAAGACACTGTGGACTGGATAGTCAATGAGTGCAGAGCTGTGCTGTGTCCTCAGAACACTCAGTATTCTGGTCCCTGGCCAAGAGCATCCTACCATGGGGCCATTAAACACTTCCTTCACCTTCCCAAATGCTCCTCACTGTCATTCACTCTGCCAAGGATAAAAATATACTGAGATATAGTAAAATACAGCACATTTTAGATTTTTCTTTTGCATCCAGTAATTCTACCCAGTAATATAGCCTTGGTATTTTTCCAGTAGTAACTGGGTCACAAAAACAAATTCAGCAGGCCATGACCAGTACTGCTTTTGCTCAGTAGTAAACAAACAAAAACTACCTCACAGGAATAGGAAGGTACTCTTAGCCTATTTTTTCTTATATCCACAAATATACTCAAACATCAGCTTCATACTTTAAGTTAACATTAAAACAAGCTTGAAAAACATGACTCTACCATGACTTAAATATACATATACGTTTCTTACAAACAGTAGCTTTCAAATGTCTGGCATCTGAACCACAGCAGCATGGCATGTATCTGACAAGACATGCACACACTCACACACATGTACTCAGCCATTTAAGTGTAACTGAAAGCACTTCACGGAACTATCCCTATCCTTACACTACACAGTCAGAAACCTCAGTAACAGAGTCTATCCTCGAAAAACTGTTTTGTTGCTGTTGTTGTTTCTATGATGATCAATGTCCATAAAATTTACAAGTGCACTGTTCAACAGCATGAAACAGTAGCAATATGGAAAACTTTCGTCATCTCCAGTGGAAGGTCTGTGAACTGTCAGCACTGATTCCCCATCCCTTCTCCTCCAAACACAGCCACCTCTCTACCTTCTGTTTTCATTAATTTACTATTCCAGGTAGCTCATTAAAATGGAATCACCCAGTATTTGTGTTTGTCTGTGTTTGTCTGGCTCACTCACTGTGTCTTCACCTGAGGTAGCAAATTTCTGAGTGCTGAAAGCTAAGACTGAGTGACACTCAGGTGTGAAAGAACCACATTTTGTTGCTCACTTGCCTGGTCATGGACATCTGGGTTGTTCTACTGTGACCAATGTTGCTGTGCACACCAGTACAGGAAAATGTCTGTTTTAGGGGCTGGAGAGATGCATCAGCAGTTAAGAGCACTGGCTGCTTTTGCAGAGAACTTGGGTTCAATTCCCAGACCCATGTGGAAGTACACAACCTTAAGTAACTCCAGTTCCAGAGTTGGAACACCTTCTAGCTCTTGTGGGCACTGTGTGCACATGGTAGATAGACATATGTGCAAACAAAACAGCTATACACATAAAATGATAATAACTTCAATTTTTTTGAAATTTCTGCTTTAATTCTTTAGGTGATAATAACCAGGAGCAGAGCTGGCAGATCTTATGACCTTTTTATGAGAGCTGTTTTGAGAAACTGCCATGGTTTTCTATAGGATGTATAATTTTACATTCCACCAGAAATGTTCAAGGGCTCCAATCATGTCTCTGCCAAGGCTTAATATTGTCTGGTCTCTGAGACCACCACTGAATGAGCAGCAAGTAACACAAAAGAATGTCTGCACCACCCTCTCCCAGAACAGTGTTTTTCACAATGGTATAAAACAATCCAATGCAATCAAGATCACTGACCTGTGGCACAGGCCTCCTCATACAATGGGATATTGTGTGTGGTAGTCAGAAACAAAGGGATTTTGCACAACGAAACATGCATGAATCTCAGAACAGAACGGGGCGAAACTTGTAAAATATGAATTCTTTGGTGCAAGGTTCAGAAACATTAAATATCCGACAACATATTCTTTAGAGATATATCTATTTGTTAAAACTACTTTAAAAAAAAAAAACAAAGTGATGATTAAAACAAAACAAAACAAAAAAAAGTAGGAAAACTAACACCACTGAGGAGAGGGAGAAGATTTTTCTTGCTAGCTGCATTGTTTTTCTTTATACCTATTGTATCAACTATCAATATTTACCTAGGTATTAGAATAATATGGAGAACACTGTTTCAACTTTAAGATATTAATTTAGATATATTGGAGCTAGGCACTCCACGGTCAGTCCTCTCATAGTCTGATCAGTTAGTTTGGCTAACTGTGATCGTCTCCATCTACTGAAGAAAAAAAAAAAAAGAGCTTCACTGGTAATGGGTGAGAGTCACACTCATCTGTGGGTGGAGGGTAAGTAGTAAGATGCAGTTAGAGGTCACACTGGTTTAAGAAAATGGCAGCAGGAGGCTCCTTCAGATCCCATGATCTCACCACCATGTGCAGTTGTCTAGGTTTAGAATACCAGGCATCAATTCCTTCCTATTGACTAGACCTTAAGACCAATCAGACAGCTCTTGGTTATTCCCAAGATATGAGCACACTGTTGGTGATATCTTGTGGTGGTCATTGTGTATAACACCACCCCTACATCCAAGGCTAAGAGACTATCAAGAAGGCAGAGGTGGGGAGGACTGCGAGAGCTAGAAGACCAGGACATCTGCTGTTGAGATTATGTCTTCTATATAAGAGAAGGAAGCTACATTCATAAAATATCAACAATATGGCTGCGTAAATATGGCTGAACGAATGTACCAACTGACATGCCAACATGGACAGAGGAAATCAGACAAAGGCCCACCCCTAGATGAAGAACTACAGAAAAGTAACGACTGCTGAGAGAGGGATAATCGGTCTTCCCCAGGAATGAAACCCTTAAGTGATTATCCAATACCAAGTGATCAGTCCTAAAAGCTCTACATATGAGTAACTCTAAACAGACTCAATAGGTTATATGTATTTGTATGTATTCTATATGTCACTATAATAACTAAGAAAACAACACCATATAAAAAGAAAAGGAGTGCTTAAAGGTAAAGGAGGGCAACAGTGGAAGGGGAGAGTAGTATAGGATAACAGGAAATTGAAGATGATCAAAGTATATTATCCATATGTTTGGGGTATCAGTAACAACCACTAGTTTCATAAATTCTAATAAAAATGAAAAAAGAAATAAGTCTGCTCTAGTGTTAGGTGTCTTTTTAGATATTGGGAGATAGCAGTGAACAAACAGATTAAGAATTCCTATCCTTCTGAACACATGGCTGGCTTGGTGCTCATAGTAACTAATTGACAGATCACCTGTGATACAGCTTCTGAATGAATGCAAGGTTGGGAAAAGGCTTTAGGAATAGCCCAAACTATCCAGGATCTGAACAGAATCTCCAGTGGCCCCAGCTCCCCTATTCTAAAAACCAGGGTTCACCTTCAGGGGGAGTTTGAATGCCAAGATGAAGAAAATCACTTCAAGGACACTGGTTCAATGTTAAGCCCAAGCACCTTATGTTTCTTAGAGCCACTTATTCTCAAGTTTCGAAGGAAACATCCATTCTCCCCCCACCCCAATACATTCTTTAAGAGCCGAGTACAGCTAGCTCACTTTAGCAAGTGGTATAGGCTTGCTGGCAAATTCCTGTCCTGGCGTACCAGTCTTAGAAAAGGTCTGCATACTCACTCCCTAGGATCCAGGAACAGCACTGTGCACTAACCCTCTGCATTCTATAAAGCCAGGGAGGGAAAGGGAGCGGAGACAGAAACAAGAAAATACAGTGCTGTAGTTCAAGAAGGAGCTAGTTAGTGATCCTGAAAGGTTCCTCGCCCCAGCCCTTTGTACAAACAAACAAACAAACAAACAAAACAAGGGAGGCATTTGTGTCTCTTCCTTTCTTCAGCCCTCTAGCCTTACTAACATCTTTAAATTCAGTCAATTTCAACTCAAACTTTGTACGGGTGGAGGAAGGGCAGAGATTTGTAGCTGCATGCTTAAGAAAGAAGCTGAATTCATCACAGTGACAGGGAGAGTGTTGGCAGAGATCTGAGCTATTTATTCTTTTAGGAAAATCCTATAAAGAATGACACAAGGAAGCCTCTATCTGCAGTCTTGTTCATCACACTGGTGAAGAGCTGATAACAGATGTATGCAGTTGTGTGATTTAGTGCCAGGAGCTGGCCCCTGATGTGTATTAATACAGCGGCAAAGCGGGACGCGCCTCTCTTCATCACTCATTTCTATAAAAGAGGTGGAATCGGAGATGGCCCGATGGTAGGCAGAGCAAGCCCATTTGTTCTCCTGACTGATGGCGCAGGCTCAGGCTGTGTCCTTCACCTCCATGGGGCACTCAGGTTGTGAGCAGAAAAAAGGAAGTGCTCAGTGAAGCAGGGCTTAGTCAACAAGTGAGAGGAGAGGAGTGGGCTCCCTTGGGAAACACAGCTAATGTCTTCTTCAATACACTAAATACATTTCCTGCTTTGAATGGGGAATCAACTCTTCCCAATGGTTCTGTTCTCACAATGCAGTAAAGCAGGGCTGGGGCTGGGGCTCAACAGCATTTGCCTATAGACACGAGGGCCTAGGTTTGATACCCAGAACTGGGGGAAAAATTAAGAGCAAAAATAGGACCAAAAGAGAAAAAAGGAATAAAAGCTAAGAGGAAAGGTTTTGTTTTAATTCTTTAAATAGCCCAGACTGGCTAAGAACCTAAGTTCTGAAGTCTGGAAAAATCAATCCTACTGTACATACGAAGGACACCTGGGAATTTAAAGGGCAGGTCCAGAGCATCAGGGAAACATCTGACCTGACCCTGTATTTCACTAACACCTGAATTCAGAAGGTGACTGACACCTCACTTTGCTCATTATCAGTGGGATAAAACTGTGCCTATCCAGGAAAGCTGAGGCAGAGGTTAAATGAAATCCTGTACACAAAGTGCCTAGCTCAGCGTCTATGCAGATGGAAACAACTACAAAATTCACAATAATCACTGGGTCTGTGATTAGGATTGTTTAGGATGAGCCACTGATTAGCAGTCACCACAGACCGAGCAGCTCAAAGGGGTAGGTATTTCAGAGTCGTTAAAAAGCCACTCAGGGAAGGCATAATGTGTATTAACACAGCGCCAAAGTGGGTGGTACAGAATTGTCTGTTGTCTATCTTCACTCAGCTAACAACTGATCTGAAATATGTAACACGTGCATAACACAGGATAAGTAAGCTTTATCCAAGGTCCAGAAGTGCTTTGGGTCTAGATCTGTTGGTCTCACCAATTTCTCATACTCAAAGCTGAAAGGTCATGTATATGCTATTTTTCTGTGCTTGCTTCTGACTGCAACTCACCATACAAAGTCAGGCAGAGAATCCTACTTACAAGTGCATGTCAGTGCTCAAAAGCTTTGCACTTTTTTTTAAAGTTTTGTATTTCAAACCGCTTCAGATTTTTGGGATTTTAAATTAGAGATGTTCAATCTATAGTTTATCTAAGGGAAACAATTTACAATAGGCTTGATATATAATATCTTTGATAACATGTGTAATAAAATACATGTATCTTAAGCATACAGCTTGAAGACTTTAAAATACATAAACACCCATGTTACTCTGCCTGGTTTGTAATATAGAACATTTCCAGAGCCCCAGATCATTCTGCATCTTCTCTTGGTCACTCTCCCAAAGATAGCCACTATTTTAGCTTCTCCCAAATGGCATAAATTTTATGCAGAAACTAAAAAAGTTTAACCTGAAAATGTGTTCTTTTTTTGTTTTAAAGACTTTATTTATTTATTATGTATACAACATTCTGCTTCCATGTATATCTGCACGCCAGAAGAGGGCACCAGATCTTATAACGGATGGTTGTGATCCACCATGTGGTTGCTGGGAATTGAACTCAGGACCTCTGAAAGAGCAGTCAGTGCTCTTAACCTCTGAGCCATCTCTCCAGCCCCTGAAAATGTTTTTAATTAGACATCTTATGATGAGTAAAAATGGACATACTATTATACATAACCAGTGAGAATACACTGTGCTGTATAAACCAATTAAGAAAGTAAACAGAGTTAGGTGTGGTAGCACAAGCCTTTAATCCCAGCACTGCAGAGGCAGAGAGAGGCAGAGAGAAGCAGAGAGGCAGAGAGGCAGATGGATTTCTGTGTTGACAGCCTGCCTGGTCTATAGTCTACATAGTGAGTTGCAGAACAGCTAGAGCTATATACTGAGACCCTATCTCAAAATAACCAAGGGAGGGAAAGAAGGAGGGAGGGAAAGAGGGAATAAGCAGGGGCTGGAGAGATGGATCAGTGATTAAGAGGACTGGCTACTACTCTTCCAGACGACCAGGGTTCCATTTCCAGCACCCACATGATTTATAATCATTAATAGCTATAGTCCTAGGAAATTCAATACCATTTTCTAGCTTCCATGGGCACCAGGCACACCATGGTATATGGATATAGATGCAGGCAAAACACTCATATATGTAAAATAAAATTTTTTTTATTTTTATATTTATTTATTTATTTATTTATTTATTTATTTATTTATTTATTCTTTGATTTTCAAGACAGGGTTTCTGTGTAGCTCTGACTGGCCTTGAACTGACGGAGACCCACCTGGCTCTGCCTCCTGAGTGCTGGGATTAAAGGTGTGCACCACCACTGCCTGGCTATAAAAATTATTTTTTAGAGCAGAAAGCAAATGAGCCCAGGTAACCATTGACCAAGCTATTATCCAGCTGGAGGTACATCAGCATGGGCCTCCCCTCCTGTCTGTGCTACAACAAAGGTTCAAATGACTGGGAATACAAAAAGCCAAGGGACAGAATGAAAAAGCAGACTCCACTGTAAGAGAGAACTGGAAAAATTACTTCTCAGCATCTCAATTTTCTTATGTAAAATAGGAATAAAGATTCCTTATCACAAAGATTCCATGGGAAGGTATATAAAACACATCATTTAGTGTTTAGTACACAACAGGTGCTCTATGAATGACAACTGTATATAATCACCTGTACTAGAGCTAGATAAAGATGCTGAGGCCACAGGTTTCCGTTTCCTCTTAATGTCACGTGAACACGGTGGTCCCCAGTGTACCTTTGCCTGCCTGCAGAAATGAAAGGAGAAAGAAGATGTTTACTTTGTAGTACTTGTTGTAAAGCACTGTACTGTCCAGATGAAATCTTTGACCCATTATAGATAAATGCTAACAAAACAGGCATCATCTTCTGCCACTAATCATTGCAGCCTCTGGACATACTCAGAATTATGCATAACCCACAATACATGGCACTCTTTACTTTTTACCAGATTTCAGGGAAACAGACATTCAAATTTCAGTAAATATGTGCTTCATTATGTGATTTTTATACAATGCTTTCACATGAAAACTCTAACTGCAACTGAGCTAAATTCACTAATGAAATACCTAGCCCGACATGATAATACATCAAAAGGGTTAATGCCCTGTGAACAGGGACATTTACATAGAATTATAGTAAGTTTAACTCTGCTGCCACTGGATAATCTGTTTAAATTTATTTTATATGTATAAGTGTTTTGTCTAAAAGAGTGTGTGTGTGTGTGTGCGCGCGCGCGCCCACACACCCTATCTGTGTCTGATGTTGATGCCTATAGAGACTGGAGAAGAGATTCAGATCCCCAGGAACTGGAGTTACAGACAATTGTGAACCACTCTGTGGGTACTGGGGATGGATTGAAGCTGGGTTCTCTTCAAAAATACCAAGTGTTCTTTACCTTTGAGCTAACTCTCTAGCCCTGATAATCTGGATTTTTTAATATGTGTTTATATCACAAGTTAAATATTTGGTTTCTGTGACTTTCAAAAATATAAATTATGTCAATTAACAAGTTCCATTGTTAGGATATTCAGCTCATTTCACAAATAATACATCTAAATACTATAACCTAGAAAAACAAAATTCTCTGGAAAACTACAAACTTAACACTGAAATAGCTGACATAGTATCATAGTTCCCCAGTCCCTGACTTCATCCTTTTCTGCAGTCTGGACAGACTGCCCCAATAAAGGTGATTGTCACTTTTACACAAAGCTTTCCTTGAACACTGCAGGGCTTATGTGCCACGAATCATTATCTGGCTGGTGAACATACATCATGCTTCCCTAATGAGGCTTAATCCCCTTGAGATTAGAAACAGGGGTCCTGAGAGCAGAGGCCATATTTACATTTCCTTCATAATTATCCAATGATCTAGCAACCTCAGCACAGGGCAAGAGATGATCCTCACTAAGTATATGGTAGCCAGAACTTAGAGGAATAAGAATTTTAAAAATCAACTGGTAGAATGAATGAACCCTGAAAAGTAGCTAAAAATAGTAAATTCTATGTTATTTATATTTTGTCACAAAAAAATAAACAGCTATAGCCCCATAAAAAAAAAAAAAAAAAAAAAAAAGCCTAGTGTGTGGAGCTGGAGAGGGAGATCAGGAGTTAAGAGCACTTGCTGTTCTTGCAAAGAATCACAGTTCCGTTCCCAGCACCTACATCAGGTGGCTCATAGCTGCTGCCTGTACTTCCATTTCCAGGGAGTCTAGTGCCCCCTTCTGACCTCCATGGACACCCACATGTGTGTGTGTACATGCGCCTGCACACACACCTGGTGTGACAGAGCACCAAAGGTACATAGCTGTCTGTCTGGATGGGCGAACACAGAAAAGGAAGGGGCACTGCAGTGTTGTGTTCCTGACCCAGAGACATGTACAGATCAGACTTTTCCACAGGTAAAAGTCCTGATCACATGCTTTCTCCTAACTCAGACATGCTCTGCCACAGGGACTTCGGGTATGCACTGGCCATCTTTTCTCTTCACTGTAAGCTTATTTAAAAACAAACAGGATAGTACTCATAAGTGACCCCAAAAATTCTATGAGGCAACTTCTACAGCAGATAAACACCTTCAGTGAAGTGGCTGGATACAAAATAAACTCAAAAAAAAAAAAAAAAAGTAGCCCTCCTATATACAATAGCCACAAATTATATGAAATACCTTGCCGTAACTCAAACCAAGCAAGTGAAAGACATGTTTGGCAAACATTTCAAGTCTTTGAAGAAAATATCAGAAGATGAAAATATCCCCCATGCAGGCTGGAGAGATGGCTCAGAGGTTAAGAGCACTGACAGCTCTTCCAGGGGTCCTGAGTTCAATTCCCAGCAATCACATGGTGGCTCACAACCACCTTGAATGAGATCTGGTGCCCTCTACTAGCATGCAGGCAGGGCACATGCAGACATTAGACTGTATACTTAATAAAGAAAATCTTAAAAAGAAAAGAAAATATCCCCCATGCTCATGGATTGGCAGGATTAACATAGAAAAAAGGCCATTTTACCAAAAGCAATCTAGATTCAACGAAATCCCCATCAAAATTCCAACACAATTTCTTACAGAACTTGAATAATAATACTCAACTTCATATGGAAAAACAAAACAAAACAGTATAGCTAAGACAATCCTGAAAAATAGAAGAACTTCTGGAGGTATCACCATCCCTGATTTCAGCTGTACTACAGAACAATAGTAATAAAATCCCGATAGTATTGGCATAAAAACAAACAGGTTGACTAATGGAACTGAATCGAAGACCCAGACAGAGATAAATCCTGGGTATAAATAAATAGATATACCTATGAACACCTGATTTTTGATAAAGAAGCCGTAAATATATAATAGGAAAAAAAAGTATCTTCAACAAATGATGCCGGCATAACTAAATGTCAGCATGTAGAAGAATGCAAATAGATCCATATCTATCACCCTGCACAAAACTCAAGTCCAAGTGGATCAAAGACCTCAACATAAAGCCAGATACAATGAACCTAATAGAAGAAAAAATGGAGCATTTTTTCTTGAATGCATTGGCACAGGAAAAAACAAAAAAACAAAAAACTTCCTAAACAGAACACCAACAGTGCAGGCACTAAGATCAATAATTAATAAATGGGACCCACATGTGCTGGGGAAAGGTTCATCCCAGCTACTCAGGAACAAAGGAGGCTATTCAGAAGTTAGGCCTGTGTGTTCACCATGTTAAAGCATCACTCTTGACTGGTATGACAAATGGTTACCGGAATCATGTACAGAGTTTTCATAAAATACACATGTCCAGCTAAGATCTTTAGTATACAGAATTGGCAAAAGTTCTATCTTGAAATGTGCTCCTAGATAATTCTGGTACTACCTGATTACTGTGATAACCTAGTCAATAACAGAGGTTTAAATACTTAGGCTAAATGCTAATTAAATAAATCTAAGTTTAAATAATAAAAATATAGTTCCCAGTATAGAAGCCAAGAATCCATGAGAGAGACTGATGCTTGCATTATCTGGCTGGGTCTCAGGACTATCTGCCCACAGGCCAGTGAGATCTCAGGGTAGGCAGGTCTTTCACAGTATGAAATGTTGGAATCTGGATTTCTCCTAGTGGTGTCATAGTCTCCTACTGTGAACTGTGGCGGCATTTGCCAAAGATGGGTTGGGGAGTGTTAGGAGCTGGGGATATGGCTCAGCTGGTAAAGTACATGCTGCATATTAATGAAGACATGAGCTTGGGTCCCCAACACTCTCATAAAGACCAGGCACAACAGCATGTACTTGTAATACCAGCACTAGGAGGTAGAGACAAGTGAATTCCTAGAGTTCACTGGAGGGTTGGTGAGACAGCTCAATGCTATCAAGCCTGATGACCTGGATTTGATCCCTAGGACCCACATGGTGAAAAGAAAGAACTCCCACAAATTGCCCTCTGACAAATAAATGCAAAAAATAAAAATAAAAAAATAAGGTGGAGAACAGCTAAGGAAGACATCAACAGTGATTTCTGGACTTAATGTTCAAACAGGTAAACACACACCCATGAACAAACATGCACACACACTATACAAACATGTACACACACACACACTCTGAAAGATGGGAAGTGGTAGCAGGGAAGGGGAATAATTATTAATAAATAATAGACTTTAAAAATATATCCCTTTATAAGCATCCAGTGAATTCTTCTCCTGTGAAGGTGAATGGTGAAGATTAACAATTAATGAAAAGAGAACTCTTTATATCCTCATGTAAACACAACATTTCTACTTTATTTTTCCTGCGGAGAATGAAGGATCAGGTGAGCTGCCCAAACTGCAGTGTTACTTAGGAAACTGGGCAGATTACTATGTCCCAGGGGCAGGAATGTACTTTTAGGGGGAAAAATACTTTGAGAGAAATGCATGCATGTTTAATAGAACCAGTGCTGGCAAAAATAATAACTCAAGTGACTGCTTCTGGTTTAGAACAAAGATATTGAAAGTCACTCAGAGGGAGCAAAAGCAGTCTTTGTCTGCCAATGGCAAGCTAATCTAAGGAATAGTTCACCTTCAAAACTACTTGTTTTTAAAAGCTATGAAAAAGTTCGTTTTTGCTGTCTGAAACAACAACAAAAAAGAGATATTTGCTATATTTTCTCCTTAGGTAACACTTGAGGGGAAAATAAATGTTAATAAGAACCAAAGGTCATACATAGCATATATTCTAATTATTCTCCTTAATTACAAATCTATTCGCTTCATTTTTTTTCAACAAAAATTTATGGGGGCTTGCCCTGTGTAACCCTATGCTTGAGGCATATAGGGTAGATCCACGGTGACTGTCCCATGAGTCTGTCCCCAGCAGCTCACAATAAGGTGGGAAACATAAACAGAGATTCATAAACAGAGAATGAATACATTGAGACAATGCATCATAATCAAGGAGCAAGTCAAGTCCTGGGTAAAAGAGGGAGAAGAGGATTACATGTGGGGAACAGAAAGACCCCTGCCTCACCTGTGATCATCTCTTCAGGGTCCTGGCATTTATTAAACACCCAGTGGAGGAAAGATCTTCCTTCACTGACCTGTACAGGTCAGTGACAAGAAGAGGGGAAATCCACTTCACAATAATGCAAGGGATAAGCTCTCAACTAGCAAGAAAAGACTCTAACAACTCCCTCATGACCTCCCCCTTAAACCTAACCTTTAGCAGCCTGTGGCAAAGGGCTCACAGCATTTAAAACTGCCTTTAAATTCTTCCTTTGGTGTGGTC